CCCTAAGAGGGCACACGCCACTCAGGAAGGATCTGCCCTGTGGCCCAAACACCTGGAACCAGGCTGGGGGATCAAGTTTCGACCTGCCGTTTGGAGGGACCAAACATCCAGGCCATGTCCCTTGGCTGTGCTGTGCCCTAAACAAGATCCTGTGGACGTCTCAGACCCCTCACACAGGGTTCCCACTATCCAGCCTGCCACTCAGGGTGCCTGGTTCCTCCATGCTGTGGCCTCACCTCACCTCCCCACCTCAGTCCACATCCCATCCAAACTGGGCACAGCCTGGGCTCCAGGCCTCCTTCCATCTCTCAGCCTCCGTGGCGTTCTCCCCGCTGGGCACAGTGGCCCCCCTGCAGGGACTCCACATTCTCCAGTCCATCTTTGTGGGTCCTTGAGCTGGACACAATCTCCTCTGAGTCCCTACGTCACACTCCGCATTTTTCTCTTGTGAGCCATCGTCCTGCCCTGGCCTGACTGTTAGGCTGCAAGCTCCTGGGAAGCAGGGGACTCACCTGACTTACCTTTGCATCCCTGGTAGGAGCCAGTATGGGCCTCACATTGAGTCCAAAAATATCTCATAAAGGATGCATGACTCAGACTGAGTCAAATTGGTCAAAAGGAGCCATGACCTTTGGTTAAAAGTATCTTACGAAGATGTGGAAATGTAACCTTCCCTAGACGCGGTCTGGTGTAGCCCTGATACTGAACAGACTGAATACAAATTGTAGGTTTTAAATCTCAGTTTCCTCAGTGACCACAGGAGAATACCAAATTTTGCCGTGCATAACATGAACTATTTTTTGAGACAGAGTCTCACTTTGTTGTCCTTGGTAGAGTGCTATGGTATCATAGTTCACAGCAACCTCAAACTCTTGGGCTCAAGTTAATCTCTTGCCTCAGCCTCCCGAGTAACTGGGACTACAGGTGCACGTCACAATGCTCGGCTATTTTTAGGGGGAGCGGAGGGGTCTTTCTCTTTCTCAGGTTTTAGTCTCGAACTCCTGAGCTCAAACCATCCACCCACCTCAGCCTCCCACAGTGCTAGGAATACAGGCATGACCCACGGCGCCCGGCTATAATGTGCATTTTTTGCCCACACTTTTGAGGGAAAAATAAGGATGCCCATTATATGTGGGCAGCACTATTTGTTACCAGTACCTAAAGTTTCTTGTACCTTGTACCTTGCTCCTGTTGTGTTTTGTAAATGTTTGTTATGTAAAATTTCTTATACCATAATCTGTTAAAAATAAACACTAAAATTCCTTTATCATACACAAGCAAGTACCTAAATACAAACAAATAAAATTTTGAATTAAAATTTTAAGACAAAAGATTTTTTCTGAAAGTTTGGGCCCATGGGGCGCACATTAAAAACAGGAGTGTGTTATACACGGCCGAATGTGGCAGTAACACCCCCTGCACAGCAAGGCCATGACGTGTCAGTGACAAGCACAGATAGAGCGGAGGAGTCCAGTCCCTGGGATACAGAAAGAACTCCCACAGGGAAGAAGTTCTGCTCTGGAAACAAGTGTAGTATGACCAGCCCTTGAAGGAGGGCCCCAGACGGCACAGACGCACTCGTTTCTGACCTGTGTCCAGCAGCAGCTTTGCGATGGAGAAGTTGGAGTGGGACACGCTGTAGTGGAGGGCAGTGTTCCCATTGCGATCAGCCAGGTTGACAAGCAGCTTCAGGAAGTGTGAGGAGTGAGGCTGGACCCCGCGGAGGTAGGCGGCCACCACAGCAGGACTGGACAACTTCCGACTGGAGATGCGGAACCACTCCTGACTGATGGTGTTCAAGCTTTGCCTCTGGAACCCCAAGAGAGTCCAATTCCAAGAGGTTCCCTGGCCAGGGGTGCCCCAGCCAGGGCTCCTACCTTGCACTAGGAAAAGTCAGGGTCAGATGCTTCTGCCTCTAACCCTTCAGCTCCCTCCAGCTCTCCTGGTGGGCTGTCCCTGGTGGGCTGTCCCTGGTGGGCTGTCCCTGGTGGGCTGTCCCTGGAGGGCTCAGAGCAGGGCATCAGGAAGGCAGCAAGACACTGTGCCTGTGTGGTCAGCCCCCTGGGAGGGGACAGCACAGTGACCAGGAGCTAAGCCCTCTGCTGGCCACAGTTTGCGTCTATGCTGACGTTAGCCCACACCCCTGTTTGCTCACATCACCGAGACCCCCTCTTTCATGCTCACTCAGCCCCAGCCTCCACCAGGTCCCTTGTGGGCTTCTAATAGGCACAGCTGGAAAGCCGACATCTTATTAGCAGGAAAAACGCATGCTGAAAACTGGGACAGAGAGATATCCAATTCACCTTGCAATAAAACCCAAACAGGTGTGCCTGACTTATTTTTGGCTTTCAGAGTTTGCTAGTGCCTTCGGAGGAAACGGCTTAACAGCCATGGCAGGACCTCTCTCTGCAGCATCAGGTCCCCTGGGACTGGGAGCAGGAAGAGTTCCAGAGCCAGTGATGTCAGCTCTGTGTGTGGCGTGACCTAAGTGCCTGAAGTGGACCATGTTTAGATTACTTGCCTAAAGGGAAGGAAACGCTACTGGGATGTGATTATTACAAATGACTCATTCTGGAAAGAGCACCGTGCTTAGAGGCACTAAATCAGGTTTAAGTCCTGGCTCGGCTGTGTGACCTTAGAAGTCAGATAACATTTCTGAACCTTACTTGTCCTATTACAAAAGGGGGTCTGGGGCGGCGCCTGTGGCTCAAGAAGTAGGGTGCCAGCCCCCTATATGGAGGTGGCAGGTTCAAACCTGGCCTCGGCCAAAAAAAAAAAAAAAGGAGGGAGGTCTGGCTGCCTTCCCTCCCATGGCCGTACAGAGTGAGGTCCTCATGCAGCCTGCTGTCTTGAGGCAGGGGTGAAGGGGGAGCTTTGACCCTGATGGGGTGTGGTGTGGGGCTGCACATGCACATTCTCTGGTCACTCTTCTTTTTTTTTTTTTTTTTTTTGA